GAAAAAAAATATTTTAAATGTTCATTTTTATAATTGCCCACGATTATTCTTTATATATACTGTCTAAAAGTGTTAATTAGAAAAGTTTAGATCATCGAAAGGCAACAAATATCTATAAATATTACATGTTTTTGAGATTAACAAGCAAAGTTTTAGGTCTTGTTTTCATACTATACAGAAATAATTTAGAAATAGTAAGTATTAAAAAGCCCCCTTCCAGGCATAAGCTAACCCCTGTGAATTGCAATGAAAGTAAGTGACATGAATAGAAAGTGTCACATTTTTAGCACCTCTGGTAGGAGAGGGCTGAGGAAGGAAAAAAGTACTGCACTGTAAGAAATCAATCCAAGAAATCAAAATGTCAGCAGAAAGGACACTCTAATTGCCAGCAGTAGAGTGGTCCCCAAAAGTATCTCAACATAATTAGTATATTTTGAAAAAGTGGTTGAATTTGCCCAACCAGAATTTGTACTGTGAGTTCTTAAAGTGTATTTAGAATTATCATGGATAACAATACTATTCTCTGAAAGGAATCGTAAATGGTATCAGTATCACCTGATCAAATGTATAATTAGGCATTAATTTTAAAAAGTGGCCAAACATCAGGAGATGTCCGGAGGGGCCCAAGCAAGCACCCCTCCTCTGGTGAGCTGGCAGATGAAGGCAGGGAGGCCCCCTCCTCTGGTGAGCTGGCGGATGAAGGCAGGGAGGCCCTGAGGAGGAGCGGCCCTCGCTTTCCCAGGGCACAGCCCAGCTGCCTGCAGCGCTGGTCGGAGGCTCGGGCTGTGGGAAAGGCGGAGAAGCAGACGGGCAGGTCGGAGTTTCCTCTCCAGCCCTTGAGAAATGTTGGGGGAAGAATGTTTATTCCTCCAGCCCAGCATCACTCACCCCAAAATTTTCATGCAATTTTATATTACATCACCAATATTTAAAATTCTTTTTCTCCAGGAGGCTTCTTTAACTGAATTTAAACTCAGAAAAGCTAAAGGTCCTATTCTGCTATGTCTTTCTTGACAATTCCAGGCCCTGTCCCTAAGATACATCCATCACATTACTTGGCTCTATTTATTTCACAGAAATGAGAGAATGAATGTCCTAAGTTAGCCAACTCTTCCTGCATTTGCTCAAAATGAACAAACTCAGCAAATAATAAGATCAGAGGACAGATAACATGGTGACCCCCCACGGCAGATGTCACATGTGTCGTGCCCTCGGCCCAAGTCCAGGTGAGACCTCACGGCTTGGATTGACAGAGGGCTGCACATGGGCAAGCTGAAACCACCTGCTACCCGGTGTCAAGGCAGGACTTGACGGCTAGGTGGACCAGGCAGGTCGGCAGTTAACTTCAATGTGCGATTCCCTGTTCATACTTACTGGTGCTGAGACTGTAATTTCAGGGTTGGGATCTTGGTTTCATTTTCAATGCAGACACAAGGAACTCTGACTACCCATTACTATCAGTGGAAGGTACTGACGTACCATGGACCCCTTTCAAATACAGTTTCCAGGAATGTCAAATCAAAGGAAAAACAGTTACCTCTGTCTTGCTTCAAGGAACAATAATAGAGAACAAAGGAAACAATCCAACCTCAAAGTACTTTTCTGGATCAAGGGCAGAAGGCATAACTGCTTTACTTAAGACTTGGAAACTAAAAATCATCTTAAAGATCTTCCAGCAAGAGGGTATAATTTGAACCCTGTAAAGCCTTTTCTTTTCCCCATAATTTCAAAAGACTGCTTTCTGCCTTTGCCTGTCCTTCAGCAATAACCCCCCCCCCCCACCTTTGGACTATTTCAGACTCCCCTGTTCTGGTCCCAGTCAGCTTACTAATTTCACTTCAAAAGATTATTATTATGCTACACGCGCCCCCCCCCCCCCACAGGAGACCTGAGCGGCCAGAGGCCTGTTCACCTGGACCTCTTGCTCTGTTTCCACGGCCACAGAATAGGATGTACGCCTTTACACTGCTACCACCATGGTGCTCAAGTTCACCTGGACCTCTCGCTCTGTTCCGTTTCCACGGCCACAGAATAAGACGTGCGCCCTTACACTGCGACCACCATGGTGCTCGAGTTCACCTGGACCTCTCCCTCTGTTCCGTTTCCACGGCCACAGAATAAGACGTGTGCCCTTACACTGCGACCACCACAGTGCTCAAGTTCACCTGGACCTCTCCCTCTGTTCCGTTTCCACGGCCACAGAATAAGATGTGCGCCCTTACACTGCGACCATCACGGTGCTCAAG